AGAAGGGAAGCCTCAGGGAAGAAGAAAGATTTACAAGTCAGGGAGCTCTTGTTCTGAAATCAGGCCCGATCATTCCCCTTAAAGCACTGCCTCTCTCCCAAGGGGAAGGATGTTGCACGCTGGATGTTGAAATTGCATGAATTTCCTGCAGCAAGAAATTTGTCCTCCCCCAGAGAGAGAGAGAGAGAGAGAGAGAGAGCAAAGCTCTTCTTTGCTACTGGGTCCTAATCTTCTTGCCCAAGATGTCCTATGCCAATGTTCCCCGAAAGATGGGATCTGAGAGAAATTCTGCTCTGGGGAGAAGCACAAGGAACAAGAGCCTGGATACAACACTGTCCAGCCCCAGAGCAGGGCCAAACAACAGCACCCCAGAGGCCACTCTTTGAAGCATCTAGAAGAGAGGCCAGCCGCCTGTTTCAGCAAATAATTAAACCCACCCCTCCCTGGAAGCTCAGAACCAAGTAACTACACCTAGGACACTGCACAAACAGGAACCCTTTGACTTTTGGTTTCATCTAGGTGAACACACCAAATTCAGGCCACTTGGTAAAAAGCCACCCCCTGCCCCAGAGGACAGGTCTTGTCTTGGGCTCGTAATACAGAACTCGTACTTTGAATATTTCCTTGTGCTTCAGCACGATCTGCACAGATTTGAGTCCAAATGTTTACCTGTGGTAAGTGCCCATAAAGCAACAGCGCTGGTCCCACATTGGATCAGAGGGGACAAGCACAAGGTCACTCCGTTTCCCTGTCAGCCATTCTCTTGTCACGCTACCACCCTGTCTCCACCGTGACCGCAGCCACCCATGTGCACCCTGCACGCACCAGCAGCACAGCCTCACCTCATTCTCCTCCTCATTGTGCAGGGGCTGGGTATAAGCATCTGGCTTCCGGATCAGAGGGTCCACCAGCACAAGGAAAGCCATGTAAAGCAGCAGTGCCCCCACCACGGACAAGTAAATGATGATGATCACCTGCAGTTAAGGAGGGCACAGTGGAAAAGGATCAGTAGTGCAGCTAAGAAGCACCACAGAGGCCAGGAAGCTCCATTCACAGCTGCCTCTGATGTTTGATCTCTTCTCTCATTCTAATTTTGCTCACTAGAAAGTCTCTTGCACTTGCAGGAAGGCCGATGAGATGTAAGTGCCATCACCGCATAAACCTTGCTGATCTTATCCGCACTGTGCCAATTTAGGACACGTGCTGCGTGTGAAAGGAGACCAACAAGATGGTCCCCGGTCAGAGGTGCTTGGCACTGTCACACACCCTCAGCAAGAAGACCAGGCTCCCGTGCAGCCTGCTCCTCACTGCCAGGAGCCCTCCTGACTCGGACTCGGTGCCCCTGGCACTACCACCGTGTACTGGCTGTGACAGTTTTAGTTTCCCTTTCTGGGCTCTTCTCCAGGAACCCACCAGCCTAGCTGTGCCTGGGATGGCAAGGAGAAGGAGCCAGCCACAGGGAGCAGACCCACAATTACCTTAATGGTGGTGGTGCTGCGCTCCTCGTACTTGCATTCACACAGCAGGCAGTAGGCCTCCACATCATTCCCTGGCACCGGCATCGGCTCCACAACATGCAGGCAGTTGCTGCAACACAAAGAAACCAAAATCAGCAACAGGACAAAGTGAAACCAGTGCTCTGTGGAAGGGCGCTGGGGTGACTTTTTCTGTGTCCCAGCTTTCCCGTCAGGCTGATAACGCCGATCCGGTTTTAAGAGTTCCCCTCACAGTTCAGCTAGCCCAAAGTTCCTGGGACAGACTGTCCAAGCGCCTTCTGCAGGGATCTGGTCCAGGTAAAAGGGACTGGAGGTTACACCCTACATCTGCTGAGGGCCGTGGCTTAAGAAATCATGCCTCACAGGTCCCTCAGTCTCCGTTCAAAAAACGCTGCTCGCCTGGGTTGAAGATCACCTGCCAAAACAGCTTCCTCTGCAAATGCACAGGCAGGGAATTACTTCCTTAGCATCAGCTGGGAACTCCAGAGCGTTGGCTTTCATGGACTGACCCTCACGCTTCAACCCACAACTCACCAGTCCTTCTGCGACACATTCTTGTTGTAAATGTGCCCACTGATGTTCCGGTACGGGGGACAGATGCACTTGCAGCGGATGTCCTCCGAGCTCTGCAGAAGCAAGAGCATCAGTGAGCGAGCACGTGCGCACGGTTCTGCTGCCCTCACCACCCAGAGGTGCGGGAAAAGGCAACACATTCTCTAAGAGAGGACTTCACACCATGTCTCTTCTTCCTGCACTGCTTCTTTCACATCAATAACTTCACAGTTTTAAAATGTCTTGAGCACCTCTGCTCCAGACACCAAGTACTTTTCAAACAAATTTTAAAATGCAAACTCCAAAACACAGCAGAAGGCAGGGCAGAGGCCACTGTCACATACATTCACAGCTCTACATACGATAAATACACAACTGCTATAGCACTCCTTATCTTCGCCAGCTTCTGCAGAAAAACAGTTGCTTCTCTGCTGTTTTTGTTCCTGTTGTACTACACACACGGTTCAGTGCTTGTGTCTGAAGCTGTTCACTCACCTTGCTGGCTTGTGCTGGAGGAGAAAGGATGCAGCACAGCAGTGCTATCAGCAGCACGGAGCTCGCACACTTCTGGGTGCGCTGGGCAAACATCATGGAAAGCTGAGGAAACAATAATTCACACCCAGGATAGCGGATCTCGGCTGAATGCAACCAGAACGAGTTAGAATGAGCTTGCTTTTTTGGCCCACTTGCCTCTAGTTTGCCCAGGAAGTAGAAATTTATCCCTGAATCAAGGCTGACTCCTGGAAACACTTTACACAGATCCCAAGAAACACTCCTACCAAAAAAGCTTCCACCACCTAGAGCCACACATCCAAACTACCACAGTCCTGCAAAAAGTATTGCTGACTTCCGTGCTATTTGACTTCTGCAACTCCACATGACCTCCTGGTACTCTCTTACTGTTGTGGAGCTCTGCAATAGGTATTTTGCTGCTGACAGTTTTGCCCAGTAAAAGATACAGAACCAGGAAAACCGTGGACCAAGAGTGACCTAAAGAAGTACACTGGGGCCTCACTGCTGTACTGTATAATAAATGTTAAATCATTCATCTTCTGATACACAAAGGTTTGCTTCTGAAGGGATCAGCATATTTTCCTTTCTCACAAGCCATGAACTACAGCAAGGAGGTAGAATATTTACCGATTCCTAAACCTCCTTTACCGCAAGATCAGTAAAATCCTAATTTTAAAAAAATTATTTCAAGTTGCTAGTTTGGTGGATTCATTATATGCCTTTTGCTACATAGAGGTAGATAAAGTCATTCTAGAGATGTCTGCACAAATCCAAAAGAACACGAGTTCATTTTCTTTGCCACAAAAAGCAGAGCTAGTCTGAACAGGGCTGGCATCGCCAAGGGCAGCACGCCTGGAGCCAGCCGGCACAGCAGGCCTCGTGGTGCCACCCTGGGGAGAGCTCCCAAAAGCCACTTCAGCACAGCTCTATTCAGGGAAGGTCATTCACACCTTCATTAATCAGCTCCATACGGCACACCTAATCCCACAGCTAATGCCAGGTACTGATACTCTATTACCTAACATAATTCCATGACTATTTACATCGCTGGAATACACTGTCACCGTTTGCTTTATCTTATGTCAACACTCTAAAAATTAATGTAACTAATTCCTTATCAATGTTATGGATTACAAATACCAAGTTCCTTTCTTCTTTATGTAAACCAAACACCAGCCACTTCTAACAAGCTGACCTGCCAAAACCCATCAAAATGCATTCCAGCCTTATCAGCTTGCGAATAGATTTCTTAACCCTTTGCACCCCAGTTAGCAGAAACCTCCTCAAACAATGGTTCTTTCTTTGGAGACACCCCTGCTCATCAGGGTTTTAGCTCTTCATCAAAAAGGCTGGTTAACATATAACTTCTCGGAGCTGCACAGGGCGCTTTCCCCACTGTAAGTGTTTTTGGACTACTACTTGCGTGAATTTTTAACTCAACAATGGAGGGCATACCTGGAATTTAGTTTTAGCCTGCTCAGCTAAATTCAGATCATCCGAACAGCTCGTAACTGTCATTTTTAATAAAAGCCGGGGAAAACAACGTGATCTGTTATGTTTCTCAGCAACAAAATAAAAACTTGGGATGACACCTAGGCAGATCCGCCCATCACGAAGCGTGTGCGGCCAGCGGCCCGGCGAAGGGCCGTTACCCGCAGCTCCGCCAAGCCTGGCAGCCCACCTTCGGACGCGCCCCAAAGCCACCGCTGCGCAG